GAGGTCCCATCCTTATGTACAGCTTGCTGTGGCAGGTAGCCGAGGAAAACCCCATTGAACGCTCGCTGCGTCAAGTTGTCGTGCAAACGCACAGGCAGCGCGACACGAGCGTTTCAATGGGCCGGCCCATTGCGCGTTACACTGATCCCGGTTTTGGGAACCTTCTAGAAGGCTCCCAACCGGTCCAGATCTATTTTTTTTCGTTTTTCTTTTTTTCCTGTTGTTTCTTTTATGGTTTTCTTCAGTTTTTCATTATTTTCTTAATGTTTTATTTTTCGTTTTTCTTTTCTTTTACTCGTTTTTTGTTAGCTGTTTATTTTTTCCCTTTTCTTTCTTCTTTCTTTCTAAATATTTAGACTTTAAAATTCAAAAATGTTCAACTCTCCAAAACATGCTCAGGTTGCCAAATTTTGTTCCATTCTATAAAAAAATGTTCAAGAATTACAAATTTTGTTCCCTTCTATTCAAAAAATGTTCCAAATTTAAAAACAAATTCGTGTTCACTATCTTTAAGGTGGGATTTAATTTTTTAAAACGTTTGCAGTCTTTTTACCAATTCATACAATATTCATGAATTTCAAAAAACTTCCCACTTTGAAATTTGGTTCACAAATTCAATAAATATTCATGTTTGCATAATTTGTTGTAAAATTAGAAAAATGTTTGGGAATTTCAAAAATGTTCTCACTTTAAAAGAATTTCACAAATTTGAAAGATATTGATATTTATTAAATTTCTTGAGAAATTACAAAAATGTTCGACAATTTCAAAAATTGTTCCCAATTTCGAAATTTGTTGACTAATTTGGAAAATGTTCATGTTTTCAAAATTAAGATTTTTTCTGGTGAATTTCGATTTTTTTTGCATTTTCTAATTTTTGGTTCACAAATTCAAAAATTGTTTGTAATTTTCAAAAAATGTTCCTGCTTTCTAAATTTGTTCACTAATTCAATAAAGGTTCTTATTTAAAAGATTCATTCGCTAACTAAAATTATGTTCGGGTTTTGCAAATATTGTTTGTAAATTCAAAAAAAAATTGGTGTTACCATTATTTGTTCGTGTTTTCAAATTTTGTTCCCTTCTATTCAAAAAAATTGTTGTTACTAGATTTCAATTTTTTGTTCACGTTCTCATAAAATGTTCGCGCTTCCAAATTTGTTCGGCATTTTTCAAAATTGTTCACCATTTCAAAATTTGTTCTCGAGATTCAAAAAATGTTTGTGCTTTAAAAAATTGTTCGCGCTTACAAATTTGGTCGGGATTTTTCTCAATTGCTCTCCCTCTCAAAATTAGTTCTCACAATTCAAAATGTTTGTGCTTTAAAAAATGGTTCGCGCTTCCAAATTTATTCTCTGTTTCAAAATTTGTTCTGAAGATTCAAAAAATGTTCGTACTTCCAAATTTGTTTTCCGTTTCAAAATTTGTTCTCAAGATTCAAAAAAATGTTCGTGCTTTAAAAAATTATTCACAAATTCCAAAAAATGTTTGGGGAATTCAAAATTTGTTCATGTTTTCAAAAATGTTCGCGGTTTCAACAATTTATTTGCAATTTGAACAAATGTCATGTTTCAAATTTCATTCGCATTTAAAAAAATGTTCTGTTTAAACACTTTTGTTCTGAACTGAAAAAATGTTCCTGTTTTCCATTTTTGTTCCAAAATTTAAACTGTTCGTGTTCTCAGAAAATATTCCAAAATTTCAAAAAAGTTTGTGCTTCTCATAATTTGTTCGTAATATTTGAAAAATTGTTCAGGATTTGCAAGATTTTTTCATGTTTCTTTTTTGAATCAAAATTACAAAAAAGCTTTACTGCATCAAAAAAATGTTGGAACATATAAAAATTGTGATGTTTTAAAACTGCTCTCAATTACAAGAAATGTATCCGAAATGTTTTCCAAATCACAACGCTAACGCGATAGTCATATCTTTCCTTTTTTGGTCATTACGTGTAACATATCCGGAGTTAAACAACACTTTTTCTAAAATACCGTAGGATGATTTACATGCTCTATGTCAAAAATTCCTTTTCGAGATTGTAACTTGCAAGGACAATGAAATTCAGCTCCCGTTAGTAACTTCTTTCCTACGGAGACATGTAATTTCTCTATTTATTTGTTTCCCCAATGACATAAAAGAGTTTTTTTTTCTTAGAGCCTGTTCTTTCATACCAAACAGTGAAATTATTTTCTTCTAATCCCGTGTATGTTTCAACAGGGTTTCCGCATATTCAAGTGAAGCTTTGAAGGCCAATCTTTACTCGTTCTGCATATGACAGTAACCTCAGGTAACTTCTCAAATCAGCATGTAAGTTCAATTAACATGCTTATTCTTTCTATTCTGAAAGGTCTCATTATTCTTATTAGTTTGTCTAAAAGGTTCAACCAAAAAGAATCCCAATGATGAAATGTTCTGCACCTGTATTTCCAATTAACATATTTCTTCTATCTATTCTCAAGGTTCTCATTAATACTGTCACCTTCAAGGGAAGTTGCACTGCAAGATTCAACTCAAAGGAATACTTCGATGCGAAAAATGTTTCCCTAACGATAGAGCTATCTTTTTTTTTCTCTTGATGGTCTAGTAATAGTTTCTTTGCAAGAACTTTGGCTGTAAACAATGTCTGAAAACAGCTGAAACATTTCTGTAAACGAGCAACCGATTTCTTTGGGAAACATATTTCCCTTTTTTATTCTCAAGGGTCCCAATGCAAGAATTTTTTTTCAACTCAAAAGGAACAGTTCCATGAGAAAACTAATCTGCTGTTTGTTTAACATGGTTCCCCAGTTATATTTTCTTGCATTACGTTTAATTTTTAATAAGGTTTAAATCTGCAAAATAAGTTTGCAAAGAAGCTCAAATATTTATATTCTTATTTCCATATAGTTTTTTGTACGTTTATTTTTTTGCTCCTATACTGATTCTTTGTTGCACATTTCAGACTCTTCTTTTACTAATGTTTGTCAAGTTTCACAAATAGAAACAAGGTTGTCATTACTATTCTCTTTTATTGGAACTGTTCTTCCTTTGACAAAGAAATAGCACAAGCAACAGAGAGAAATAGCAGAAGAAACGAAACAGAGAAACAAGCGCACGCGAAACAGAGAAAGCAGCGCGCGCGAAACAGTAGAAACGGTTTTCAAAACGCTCGCCGAACAAAGAAACAGTAGAAAAGCG